AAAATTAAAATTTATAATTAAATCAAATTTTTGTAAAATAAAATCTAAAATTTATTATAATATTAATTCCGATGGTTATTATTATATTTTATTTTTTAAAGTATAATTTTCTTATTTTAAAAGAGCTAGATCCGAGAATTTACTCAAATTTTCTCAAATGAAATTCTCCATCACCAAAATTCTATAACTTCTTTTTTTATTATTATTTAAATTTTCTCTTTTATTTTTAATTAAAAGATGAGGTTTCACTAAATAAAATTGACATATATGAGAAGACGCAAATATATGTAAATTTCTTTTATACAAACATTTAGTAAGGTTTAATTTTTAATGTATCATCTCATTAATTAATATAATATAGTTGTATGGTGAATATTTATGGTGTGACTCTATAAAGGTTTTATATTTATATTGGCAATGTATATAACTCATTCTTTTAAACTTTGATATTCAACATAAGATCGAGACTTTCAATGATTCTCCATCATGCTCTTCCTGATGTTATGACGTGATGTAGCTGCATTTCTGTAAAGTATTTGGTGAAGGTAGGTTACAAGTGGTTAATGGAAACATTTATGATATGAACACGGTATTTTGGCATTGGATTTGGAAGGTTCCTACATCTAAGAATATTAAAATTTTCCTTTGGCAGGTTTGTCATAATACTCTACCTTCTTGGTTGTTTCTACAAGCTCGTAATCTGATGTAGGATGTTGTGTGTAGCAAATGTGGATTCGCAGTTAAAGACTTGTGATAAGATTTTCTCTTATTCAGTTAGATTCAGTTAGATTCAATAGAAATGCTAGTTGATAAAACTGAGAAAAAAACTATAAGCTACTGAATAATTTCTTCTTCCATTCATAAAAGACCAAAGGTCCCTTAAATACAAATATGATATTAAAAGCAAAAGGATAAAATAGACTAAATTATTCTAACGGTTAAAAGAAAAACACTTAAACATACGAAGCAGCAAAACAAGGATTTCAAGCGGCTATATTAGGAACCAAGCTAACAAAGGGGCTGCCAGCAACTATATATATATATTTTTTAAAATATAATTTTTAAGCCAATTGGGTCGTTTCCTTTCACGTTTGGGCCTAGATGTATTGAACTCCTCATCTGGGCCTTGTTCCTTTGGATTGCATGTACCAATACTCGCCCCATCAGAATTGGCTTTGTCCTCAAAGCCGTTGGAAGTATCTGGAGTAGTGTCGAGGTGAGTGGACGTGGCATTTAATGAATTGGTTGGAAGTGTGCTTGTAGAGAACGGTGGTGATTTAATAGGAGAAGGTGAGGCATGGATCAAGGAATTATCAACGGTGGAATTTAAATGGGAGGATCCAGCTGGCACGTCATTTATGAAGGTAGATGTGGTGGAAGTATTAAGTGAAGAGGGAAGTGAAGTGTTGGGAACTGAGAGGGATGGTTCAGAAGTATCTTCCTTAGGACCAGAAAATAAATGAGACAGAAGAGACGGTGTTGCTTGTGGAGGATCACCGATGAAGCGTCGCAGCAAGGAAATATGAAAGACATTATGGATACGCGACGAAGATGGAAGAGCAAGCTCATACGCAACTTCACCAATACGACGAACAATTTGAAATGGTCCATAGAACTTGGGAGCTAACTTTTGCGAACGGTGGCAAGTAATTGAGTGTTGTCGGTAAGGATGTAAACGCAGCCAAACCCATTCATTCGGTAAAAAGGTGATGTTTGTTCGCTTCTTCTTAGCTTGAGTTTGCATGATTTGACGGGACCGACGAAGGTTCTTTTTTAACTGAGTAAGGATGCTTTGTTTTTGAAGGAGAGTAGACCCGATCGTCGAAAGATGAGTGTGTTGTTGATGATAATGGAGTATGGAAGGTGGATTGCGGCCGTATAAAGCTTTAAACGGGCTCATTTTTATGGATGAGTGCCAAGATGTGTTGTACCACCATTCGACTAGGTGAAGATGGTTGAACCAGTGGTTGGGATGGTCTCCGGCAAAGCAACGCAGGTATGATTGAAGACAGCGGTTGACGACCTCAGTCTGGCCGTCCGTTTCTGGATGGTAAGCGGTAGAAAATTTCAAAGTGGTACCTTGGAGCCTAAAAATCTCTCGCCAGAGATTGCTGAGAAAAATGGGATCGCGGTCAGATACAATACTTTTAGGGACACCATGTAAGCGAACTATTTCCACCTCAAAGCGTTGGGCGAGGTTGGCAGCAGTGAAGGAAGAAGGCAGAGCAATGAAGTGACTGTATTTAGTGAGACGATCCACAATGACCCATATGACTGTGTGACGAGCAGAGGAGGGCAGGTGAGTAACAAAATCCATACTTATGTCTTCCCAAGCTTGATGTGGAACGAGTAGTGGTTGTAGGAGACCTTGTTTAGCTAACAAGGGTGATTTATGTTGTTGACAGGTTTTACATGCGGCAATAAAGGCTTGAACATGCTTGCGAAGATGAGGCCAAGAGAAGGAGGCCGAAATTCGGGCAAGCGTGGGTTTGACATCGGAACGACCAGCAAGGGGTGTAGAATGGAACTCATGAAGAAGGTTGGAGCGCATGGACTGGCAGTCAGGTACAAAGATCTTTCCTCGATAATACAAAAGTCCTTGTTGAATAGTAAATAGATGATCTGATGATGCAATTTTTTCCTTGATGAGTTCGGAGCCTGCATTGCTGGTGTAAAAAGTTCGGAGATCCTAAAAAATGCAAGGAACAGTTGTGGAGAAGGCATGAAGAATAACACTTGGAAGGTTATCTTGGTGACAACGTGATAAAGCATCTGCCACAAGGTTCTCCTTACCAGGTTTGTAGATAATATCAAAATTGAAGCCTTGAAGTTTAGTAGCCCAACGTTGTTGTTCGGGCGTGTGATACGCTTGAGTCAAAAAATATTTAAGGTTTTTTTGATCTTTGAAAATCTTGAAATGTCGGCCAATAAGATATTGTCTCCATTTTTTTACAGATTCAGTCACTGCGTGCATCTCTCGAACATAAACAGATTCTTGTTGCATCTTAGAACAAAGTTTCTTACTAAAGAATGCAATGGGAAGTTGATCTTGGGAGAGCACAGCGCCTACTACCACGGAAGAAGCATCCGTAGTGATGTCAAAATCTTTTGTAAAATCTGGGAGGTGCAAGACAGGAGTCTTAGTGATGGCATCCTTCAATGTTGAAAATGCTTGTTCAGCCTGTAAATTCCAAACAAAAGAAGTAAGTTTTAATAAATCTGTGAGAGGCGCTGCGAGGGATGCATAATGTCGTATAAAACAACGATAAAAACCCGTTAATCCCAAAAAAACCCTGAGTGTGGTGAGAGATGTAGGAGTGGGCCAATGTGCTATGGCGGATAACTTCTCAGGATCAGGTTCAACGCCTGTAGCAGATAAAACATGACCCAAATACTGAATTGTAGGAACAGCAAACACGCATTTAGCTGCTTTAGCATAAAACTTGTTATCCTGTAATAATTGGAAAACAATTTGTAAATGATGTAAATGATCACGTACAGAAGAACTAAAAACCAAGATATCATCAAAGAAAACTAAAACAAAACGCCTTAAATATGGTCGCAATAGGTCATTCATGGCATTTTGAAATGTTGAAGGTGCATTAGTAAGCCCAAAAGGCATTACTAGGAACTCATAATGACCATCCCAAGTGCGAAAAGCTGTTTTGTGTATGTCATCAGGGTGAACACGAATTTGATGATAGCCGGAGCGTAGGTCAATCTTAGAAAAGATAGTGGCTCCTCCTAGTTCGTCTAAAAGTTCATCAATGGTTGGGATAGGAAAGCGATCTTTGATAGTGATAGCATTTAGAGCTCTATAGTCAGCGCAAAATCGCCACGTTCCATCTTTTTTTCGAACTAATAGAACATGTGAGGAAAAAGGACCGGTGCTAGGACGTATGAGACCAGTTTGAAGTAATTCATGGATGATGAGAGTCATGGCATCTTTATGAGCATGTGGGTATCGGTACGGTTTAACATTGACAGGATTAGAGTTGGGAAAAATATTAATATGATGGTCATGTAAACGAGGGGGTGGTAAGCAAGTGGGTTTGGCAAATATGGAATTGAATTTGTGGAGAAGGGTTTGTATCTGTGGATCAGGGTGAGATAAAATTTGTTGACTTGGTTCTGGGGGTGGTTGGGAAATAGGATGGAAGGATAAAAGATGTAAAGAATCAATAGCATCCATGTGAAAAAGGTGGCAAAGTTGTTGACAAGAAGTGTTATGAAGGTTAGGCGGTTCACCAGTGAGAGTAATTGATGATTGTTGGTGGGTGAATGTCATGCATGGAATTGAAAAATCAGAGACAATGGGCCCTAAGGTGCGTAACCATTCGATGCCCAATACGATATCGGCCCCTTGTATAGGAAGCAAATAAACTGGAACCTAGAATGTATGTTTTTGGATTGTGATAGGCACATTAGAGCATAAACCGGAGCAGAAAATATGAGCACCATTACCCACCATAACTGGGAAAGTTGGGATAGGAGTAATTGAGAGTTGGCGTTGATGGGCAATTCGGGGTTGCATGATGTTATGGGAGCTACCAGTGTCGATGAGAATAGTGACACCAAGCCCATCAATAGAGCCTTTAAATCGCAATGTCTGAGGGGAAGGTTGACCGGTTAGTGCTTGTGGGGAAAGTTGTAAATGTATAGGAAGTGGTTGATTTTCAATAAGCATAGTGTTGATATCCTCACAAGGAGTTGATGGTTGGTCGACAATATGGGATTCCTCCTCTGCGAGAAGTAAGAGAAATTGTGTTTGGGTGCATTTATGACCTGGGTAAAAATTTTCGTCATAGTTGTAACAAAGACCCTTACTACGACGATCTTGCATTTGGGCATTGGACAATTTTTTATGGGTAAAGAGGGTGTGGGTGTTGTGTGAGATGATGAAGAAGGATGCGGCACAGAAGAAGGGATATCGGTGTTTGTTGGAGGGGAAAACCGAGAAGAAAATTTGGGTTTAGAATCTCGTAACTTGTCTTCCACGAGACGAGCAAGACCCATTGCTTGGTGAACTGTAACAGGTCGTAAGATTGCTAATTCACGTTGGATAGCTGGGGTAAGACCAGAAATAAAACAATTACGCAATGTAACCGGCGATAGACCAAAAACACGGTTGGATAATTTCTCAAAACGTTGTTGAAATTCCGCAACAGTAGAAGTTTGTTTGAGTTTGAGAAGTTCCGCTTCATGATTTTGATAAGAAGATGGTCCAAAGCGAGCCTCTATTGCTTGGATAAAAGATTCCCAATCGTGAAGTTGTTGATTTTGATGCATCCATTTGAACCATGATAAGGCTTCACCTTTCATATAGAAAGACACCATATGGATACGTTGCTCGTGAGGTATTTGATAAAAAGAAAAAAAATGGTCGGCTTGAAAAATCCAGTCTAATGGTTCAGAACCATCAAAGGGTAACAACTGTATTTTGGGCGGTCGGATAGTGGCAGGAGGCGGAAAAGGTGGCGGTGGTGGTGGTAAGGAAGGTGAATAGAATTGAACATTTGAATGTGGAGGAGGAGTTTGATAATGAATAGAGCCATCAGGTGCAACGTTGTATACGGGTGGAGGAGGAGGAAAAGGACAAGAGGTAGGCGGTGGAGTATGGTTAAAGGAAAGGTTTGTATTTGGGGGTGTGTCCGGGAAACGAGGAGCTGGAGCTGGAATAGTATGAACTTTTTCTAATAAACCATGAATAGCTCCTGTAAGCGCCTCATAACGATTCTCCAGGGACATTTGGAGTTGTTCATGTCGTGAATCCTGCTGAAGTTGAAAAGCTGAGAGCTTTTCATTTAAGGCATGGAGAGCTTCTTCCATGTCCTTAGTGGATTTAGGAGGCATGAGAAAATTTGAAAGCACCAATGATAAGATTTTCTCTTATCCAGTACGATTCAATAGAAATGCTAGTTGATAAAACTGAGAAAAAAACTATAAGCTACTGAATAATTTCTTCTTCCATTCATAAAAGACCAAAGGTCCCTTAAATACAAATATGATATTAAAAGTAAAAGGATAAAATAGACTAAATTATTCTAACGGTTAAAAGAAAAACACTTAAACATACGAAGCAGCAAAACAAGGATTTCAAACGGCTATATTAGGAACCAAGCTAACAAAGGGGCTGCCAGCAACTATATATATATATATATTTTTAAATAATTTTTAAGCCAATTGGGTCGTTTCCTTTCACGTTTGGGCCTAGATGTATTGAACTCCTCATCTGGGCCTTGTTCCTTTGGATTGCATGTATCAACTTGTCTCATCTTTTCTTTGGTTGTGGGGTGGCTTGTGCAGTGTGGCAGGCCCTTGTATCTTCCTAGTGTCCCAGGGGATTGGCCAAAGGTTCTAAATGAAGCTTACGTTATGCATGGGATTCTCATGTTTACTTCCTTATGGCATATTTGGAAATCCTATATTGAAGAGGAGTTCAGCTAGACCCATCTATGTAGTCCTTCATCAAGTGAATATTTTGAATGATGTTATGAGTGTTGCATTTGATAAGATTCCTAGTCATAACCAACAGGCTGTGTGGGAAAAGAGACGAGTCTCTTGTGTTTTGCCTCAAGAGTCTCAAGTGGCAATTCATGTGGACGACAATGCTATTTGGTTGTCTTGGTCTAGCTGGTTTTAGGATTATGTGTAAAGATATCATTTGTATCTCAAATTCCTTATATTCTTTGTCCCTCATTAATGGTGATCTAGATCCATTTTATAGATACGACACTGTAATAGTTGTTATTGTGGAGATGAGACAAAGACGTTGAAAAGTGAAGTTCTTACATTCTTTACGGGAGGATAATTAGTGTGCAGATTTTTTATCTTAAGATAGGTTTGAGTTAGAGAGAGTCTCTTCAAATGGCCACTCATGTGTCTGCGCTAGTTAAGGGCTTGTTGTTAGCTAATGTAATGAGTGTTAGATTCCTTCATTTGTAGTTTCATTTTGTTTTTCTTTGTTTAAAAAAATTCAATCAACATCACAACAAATATTAATATTAGCATAATGCATATTTTGATATTTCAAATAATTATAAAAATATTAAAATGACAATTTTAAAGAATTGAAGTGCGTGGAAAATATAAAAAATTCATACAAATTTTATTTTCTTACAATGCCCTTGGATTGCTTTTAAAAAGTTTAAAGTAAATATTAGATGTATTTGTGTAATTAATGTGCGGTATTCATATTTAAAAAATAGTTAACAATAATTAGAGGTATTTAAAAGATAAAAAATTATAGGTTGTAAGCGGGTATGAGAATCTGAACTAATTCAAACTGACTCAATTAGATCAACTTTTTAAGTATTTGAGTCAAATCCAATCCGATTCGATCAAAATTTGACATTGTATGGATCAAGTGATTAACTTTGTTTGTTTGACTTATTGCCCAACCCAAATAAGTCATAATAATAATAACAACAACAATAATAATAAGTTAGTGTTTGAATGGTTGCTTGTTCAAGATAACACTCACTATCACTCTTACTTAGTAACAACTTTTGTGTTTTTGGGTTGATAGTATGGTAACAATATAACATTTATTTTAAAATTTATTCTATATTAATGTTTTTTGTTTGAATTGATAACAATGTAACAAATGAACAAATTTATTTTAAAATTTAGTTTGTATCATTATGTGATTTATAGGTTGATAACTTTACATTTGTAGCAAAATATAAAATAATTTACATATATCCTTAATATTTTACAAAAAAATAAATTAATTAAATTTGCTAACCCAATTGACTCAACTCAATCATACTTATTCGTAATAAGGTTGGATTTGATTGAATTTAAAAAAAAATGCATAAACTCAATTGCAACCTAACCCATTAAATTTTTATCGAATTGGATAACAGCAAATTTTTTATCGAATTGGATAACAGATCCATCTAAATCCAGTCCAACCTAGTTATCTTACATTCCTAAAGAAGAGTATATTAATATATAAATATTTTATTATTATTTTTTACTGATTAGAATTGAACTTGTTATAAAAAAATTTACAATAATTTCATAAAATTTTATTATTAAGATTCTTACTTATACTTTCAAATGTTATTTTAAAAAGACAACTGTAACCGTCTAGTCCTGTGAATATTAATTTCAATATTATACGTATGTAATAATAATATACTTTATATAATTAATATTATTATACATAAAACAAAATTTTATTTTTCATACACTCGCTTACATATAGCACTTTATATTTGCATCATATATTAAACAAAAAAAATATTTACAATAATGTACATACTTATAATCTACTTATTTCCTACACTAATTATATGATATTTACATATCGGGTTGATATAAGTTCACTATTGGGTTAA